AGACACATATACCACACATACACCATACACACACATACCAAACATACATACAGTATACACACACATGCAAGAAGTGAACGAAATTTTCGAGGATATCAAAACCCCGTTCGCATTCGCTTTCTATAAGGATATCACCACCCCAAAAAAAAATACTCACTGTCCAGCAAAAAAGACGTTACTTAAGCACAGTATGCCAGAAAGCAGAAGGGAAGCTCGTTGTACTGAATGGCGTCTACGCACCTCCGCTACAAATCTGGGAAAGGCAAACAATCTGAGGATTGTGGAACTGCAGCACAGTTTTATCAAGACACAAATCTGCAATCCCTTACGAGGTACAGGTTGTCGTCCCGGAAGGTGTAGCGGCATCTGGCTTTGCATTTCGTGCACCATCAGCCTTCTTGTTCATGCTGGCTGATTCAGGCGCTGCTGGTTTTTCCTCCTCTTCTTCCTCGGCAATAAACAGAGTGCCTCTGTCATCTTCTAAAAATGATTTTAGAAAAATTCTAAAAAATCTTCCAACAAATTTTTTCAGAACGCATAACACAAATTTAAAGATATGAAATGAACGGCAGTATTAAATTCACCTAGAATGTTGGATCTCGGTGTTTAGTGAATTTGAACTATATAAATTTAGAAGCTTAAAAGTTACTAACTGCACCAACTAAGACTGTCAACTACATAACTGCAGAAAAATTCTGTGAAGAAACTGCGATTACAGGTATTTTTATGTATCTGTTGCTGACCCCTCCTTGTCTTTTCCACTCCGATCGTAAAAGATCTGCGGCTTGAGCTGGGATTGAGGAGTGATAAGATTTTATAACAACATGCTCTACTTTATCGAATTTCACTTAGAAGGAAAACACCTATCACTACATAGCACGAATTTACTGTAAAAGTCGATCATAGACCTCGTTTTTGAGGTCACAACCTCACCCTCTCCCCTCAATTCCAACCACCTGCTGCCTCTTCCCCTCCCCGACCATCTTTTCGCTGGTAAGTTTACACACATTTCTCAAACTCACAGACATGGTCCGTTCAATTCCGTTGCTTATTAAGCAGAAATGCTACGTGATCAAAAAAAAAAAAA